TTGGCTATTCTAATTTTGAAATTAACCCAATGAATTATTTATTCGTCATATTATTTAATTGTAGCTCTTGCTTCAATTTTCCTAATAATAGAGTACAACTTAACTAGCTAATTTATATCATCAGTTCATTTGGTTTCGATTTAATTCTAGTCCATATTCCGATAGTGATCGTCAGATTGATATCCATCTTCACTTTATTGTTACCAATATACCTCTTTAATATTTATCTGTTGTTTGTCAGCCACAGTCAATCCAAACGGTGACTCATGGACCTATGCCCTAATATCTGTGGCTGTGCAATTGCTACTTGAAATCACAACTTATCTGCGTGAGGTTGACCAGCATTTGCCAAAAGTCTCCCACTCAATGACGTCCTCAGCCGGAGGGTCAAATCTGATTGGAGAGAGTCGATCGCCGTTGCATCAAAGAGGTGAGCATCGAATTATCGACCTTGAATAAGCTGCAAGTCTGAGTCTGGAGAGGGGCAGATTATTAATTTGGGAGACTGTGGGATTGGGTTTGGATAAAATCAAATAAACTTCTAAATAATTAATATCATGCTGCCTAAAATATAAATTTCGAATGTTAATATTCCAGATATGCAAAATTTCACTTATTTTTATAATTAATTTTGAGTTCTAAAATAAGGATAATAAAATGGTTATAAATTATCTATGAATATCTTAAGTTACTTAATGATAAATGTATTTCATCTAAAGTTCAGTTGCTTGTATTATATGTCAGGAAACAGATTATATTAGACATTAATAGAGTAAATTGTGAACTTACACAATTACTCTGGCATGGTATTTTGAATAGTCTACTATCTATATTATTTATAATCTCTTCTTTTGATATTTTAATAGGCAAACGTGGTATTTCACAGCATGCTAGTGGCACCCGAATGCATACACCACTCCGACATACGGCCTCCATGGGCATTACTGGACTGTCAAGTATTGATGTAATTACACCTTCATCGAGCCCTTTAAAAGGAAGTGGTGGCCAAGACAAGGATGTACCATCTGCAAGTCCAACCCGTCTGAGCACTAGCACATCGACCCCAACTTCGAGCATTCATACTACTGCTGCAGCTGTGGCTGCAGTTGCCGGCGCCTTCGTCAGTTGCACCACCACAATTCCTACTGGTGAGTCCAGTGGAGGGCTGCCTTTTTCTCCAGTACCTCCTGCCAGTCTGCATAACGTAGGCGGAACTGGTGGAGTTAGCGGTGGTGGTGCGAGTTCAGCCCTTCGCTCAGCCCGGCGTCGTCTCAGTATCTTAGTGCCCATGCTAACAGGAGGTGAGGCCTCTCGATTGGAGGTCTCTGATTCGGTTACCGATTCAATGCCAGGCAAGCAAACTTCCGGACTTGTGCGTAGAGTTGCTGAAACTGCTGCTTCGAGTCAAGGTTCTCAGGAACCGAATTCGGATGCATCATCTTTGGGTGATCTGATAGTAGCTTCTTCCACTACACACAGTAGGTTAAAACTTGTATTATTATACATTTTATTACAGGTTTTATTCAACATTTATCACTGCTTTATATATGTGGATCCCTTAACGGGGGAGAATAAAATACAAACCATTTATCAGCAAAGCTGTTTGAAGTGGGTTGACATCGTTGTCGCAACTTGGTCTTGTTGTCAGGGCGACTTAGTAGAACGCGACTATTCCAAAGTCGTCTGCCATAGTAGTTTTCATGATTCCCAGCATCAAACGGTGGACTTGGTACATTCG